CTTCCTAAAATTTTTCATCTGAGTTTGGATAGTTGAAAAGTATTCTGGTTGTGCACAGTGGTCCACACTTGCATTCCTGGATACTTGAGAAACAGAGGTAAGAAGATTACAAGTTCAAGGCTAGCCTGGGCAATTTGTTGAGGATCTGTCCCCCAAAATAACAAAAGGATTGGGGATATAGCTCAGAGGTAGCAAATGTGGGGCCCTAGATTCAATCCCAGTACTGAAAAAAGAAAACTCTAATGCATTTTATTATTTTTTTCCTCCACATTTTTATTGCTGCGTTATAGTTGTACATAAATATGAGATTTGTTGTTATATGCATACAAAACAACATAATTTGGCCAATATCCCTATCTTTTCTAGATATAGACACCACTCTTATAATATCAATTGCCATAATGATTTGATACTACAATTGTTTTTTAATGTAAATTAATTAACAGTTGGAAATTTTCATTGTTCCTTTTTTCTTATTAAAATGTTATTTTTTTCCATTCAATATAATTTTATTTGAATCCAGTGTATTTTAATGTTTTAAATAAAAATATCTTATTGATCACTTTTATCATACTTTATAACAAATACATATTCAAATTTTCAAAATTTCTCAATTGATTTTTTTTCCATATTTTTATTAGTGAATTATAATTATATAATAGCGAATCATTTTTACATATTTTTATGCACTTAGGCACATGGTGTAACTATATAATTTAATTGTTCTCAAGATATCCCCTTTCCCTCCCCCTGGTCCTTTTCCTCTACTCTACTGGTCTTTTAATTTTCATGAGACACCACCACCACCACCACCTCTTTCTTTTCTTTTTCCTCTCTAGCTTCCACATGAGAAAATTTATGACCCTTGACTTTCTGAATGGTTTATTTTGTTTAACATAATGCTCTGAGGTTCCATCCATTTTCCTGCAGATAATATAATTTCATTTTTCTTTACGGCTAAATAAAATACCATTTTGTATGTATTCCACATTTTCTTTAAGGAGTTGCAAAGTTTCTGGTATAATTTTTAGGTCTTTGATCCATTTTGAGGTGACTTTGATGCAGATGAGAGAGAAGGATTTAGATTCATTCTTCTACATATTGATAACCATTTTTCTCAGTACCAATTGTTTGTTTGTTTGTTTGTTTTTTTATGTGGTCCCGAGGATTGAACCCAGTGCCTCATGCCTGCTAGGCGAGCACTCTACCACTGAGCCATAACCCCAGCCCAAGTACCGATTGTTAAAAAGGCACTTTTCTCCAACAAGTTTTTGGCACTTTTGTCAAGGATCAGATGACTGTCACTATGGGTTTGTCTGTGTCTTCTGTACCATTGGTCTATGTGTCTGTTTTTATGCCAGTACCATACTGTTTTTGTTACTATAGCTCTGTAGAATAATTTGAAGTCAGGTGTTGTAATGCCTCCAGCATTGCTTTTTTTGTCCTAAAATTGCTTTGGCTATGTATTCTGAAGTCTTTTAGTCTTCCAGGTGAATTTTAGGACTTGCTTTTTTCTAGTTCTAGGAATAATATCTTTGGTAATTTGAAGGATAGTGCATTGAATCTGTGTATTGCTTTTGGTAATATAGCCATTTTAACTACATTATTTTTGCCGACATATGAATATGAGAGGGCTTACCATATTCTAGTGTCTTCTTCAGTTTCTTTCTTCAGCATTCTTTGGTTTTTTATTGTAGAGGTCTTTCGCCTATTTCTAGGTTTTTCCTCTCTTTTTTTTTAACCCCTGAGGCTATTGTGAATGGGATTGTTTTTCTGCTTTTTTCTCAGCAGGTTCATTATTGGTGTGTAGGAAAACTTGATATTTGTATATTGATTTGTATCCTATAATTTCTTCTTTTCTTCATTCTTATGGAACTCCCTCTCAAGGCTACAGTTTTGGATAATATTTCAAGAATGAAAGAAACAGTCATTAAAGATTATTGTTAGTGTCATCACAGTATACAGTATATCTGAAATTCAGAACATTTCTAAACACAGGACAGGCACCATTTTTAACGTAGTGCTTTGCATTTATCTGAAATGGGAAAAAGCATGAGTCTGAGGCTTAATGGTGCCTTCATCAGTAGAGGCTTTAAGACATTCTTATTTTAAATTACCCATTTGTTTTGTTTAATGAAAGTTTTTACAACCCAGGGCAATACATTCCAATAAGATTTGAGGTGGGGGAGCTGGGGCTGTGGTTCAAAGGTATAGTGCTCGCCTAGCAAGTGGGAGGCACTGGGTTTGATCCTCAGTGCCACATAAAAAAATAAATAAATAAAATAAAGATGATGTGTCCAAATACAACTAAAAAAAAAAAAGATTTGAGATGGATGAGAAGTATTGTTTTTTGTTTGTTTGTTTTACAGTACTGGATATGGAACCATGGGCATTGCACATAGTAGGCAAGTACTCTAACATAGAACTACCGTCCTAGCCCTGCTTTTGGCTTTTTTGAAATGTGTGAGAATGAGGATTCAGGGAAAATAGGCACATCAGTTTTAGGGAAGCAAAGAGAAGTTGAAGATGTGCATGCCCAGGTACCCTTGGAAAACAATCATGACCCTTTAATAATACATAACTTAGTTTGAACACTGCCTCTTTAAGACTTTTTCACTACTGTCTAGATCCTCCTCTCCCAAAGGACATATGCTACCCTCCTCTACCACACAGGATTGTACTTGGGTATGTTAGACTCTTCTGATTTCTTGTACAGGATTGATTTCTTTCAACACTAATACATATCTTTTAGGCCTGTTTGCAGGCACAATACTTGTCTCTTACCATGACAATTAGCAGTATATGTACCTTTTGGTAGAGATTCTACCCTCAGGTTAGTTATATCTAATTATAAGAAATGCCTGTACTTTAGGTAGGATATTTTGTGGAAAAGGAGAGATTCTGTGCCTTTCAAGGTAAGAAAGAAAAAAGACAGTAGTTTTAATCTTCAAATTATCATTTCTATATGATTATACAAATAGGAAAACTTAGAGCCTAATTTACCAAATATACATTTCTCTGAAAGAAAACAATTGGAAAAAAATTTATCTCCCCCTGAAATAGGTAAACATTTATGTTATCCCACAGAGCCATTTGTCCTTTGAATTGCTGTTCCATTTATAGTCCCATTTTACATTTGTATAACTAAATATCCTATTTGTATAACTAAATATCCTATTTAAAGCAGAATTGCCACCTTTGAGTTGAGTCTTCCCAGTTTTCCATCCAAGTTTTAAGCATAATAGAATGTTTTAGACAATCTGATAAGCTAATAAGCTAAAGTGTAGTAGTCCTTCTTCTTTTTCTTTATTCTCATAGCTTTGTCTTTGTTGTTTTAATTACTTATAGCCCTTCTTCTCAACAGTCTGCAATAGAAAAATCTCCCAAATTCTTTCTTGGCCTGATAGTGGGAACATAGTCCTATGATAATGGTAGAAGAAAATACTTCTCCTTTGACCATCATACTTCCAACTTCATTACCTTTTCTTAATGCAGTTAGTAGCTGAGCTTTCTGCAGAGTGTTTCTCCAGTCTCACGGTGGGCACTCCATTATTTACATAATGGTTCTATCTAATAATTTTTGTGTTTTGTGGATTTAGTCTCCCAAACAATGATTCCAGTTGTTTCTTTGCACTAGGGGCTTTGTCATCCTGGTCTTCAGATTTTTTCCCTTCTTCCTTTGTCACATGCAAATTGACCTTTTATTGGTAGAATGTTGGTCTTTGTCACTGGCAAGACCTACTTTCAAAAGCTCCCTTTAGTAGACTGCCAACTCATTTCTATGAGGTATCAAACCATCTTACATTGTAGTATGAAATGGGTGTGAGGGCATAAATAACTAATTGTCTATCGGAATTCATTCCCTTCTTTCTGGTTAGTGGTAGATATTGCAATTTCTAATTAATAAGTTTGTGGTGAAATAAATATGTCGGAGCCTCTCTGCCAGCTTTGGCTGTGTGACCAAGTTCTGGTACATGGAATGTGAACAGAAGTTTCCTATGAGAGTTCTGAAAATTTTCCTTAAAGGGAAGCTGCTGCTCAACTTTTCTTCTCTTGCTTTCTAATCAGTAGAGGTTATGGTTAGAGCTTGAGCAATCATTTTTAAAACGATGAACGGGAAGCCATGCATTGAGGAAGGCAGAGAAACAAAATAGAACAATGCTGGGTTCCTTATGATAGTGATTCTGGACTGCCTACATTTCCATTGAATGTATTTCTGAATAATTTAAGCCATTGTTTGAGTTTTCTGTCATTAACAGCAGAATCTTATCCTAACAGATATTAAAAAGTCATGCTGGCTGGGTGCATGCCTATAATTCTAGTAGTGGCTCAGGAAGCTGAGGCAGGAGAATCATGAGTTCAAAGCCAACTTCAGCAATTTAGCAAGGCCCTAAACCACTTAGTGAGACCTTATCTCTAAATTAAAAAAGAAAAGAAAAAGGGGCTAGAGATGTGGCTCAGTAGTTGAGCACCCTTGGGTTTAATTCCCTGTAACAAAACAAAACAAAAAGTCAAGCTATTTTTTCAAATAAGCAGCACACAAACTGGATCCCTTGGATGTTACAGTGTAGCGCTGACGCACACAAAAACTATTAATCTCCTCTATGAAGAATTTTGATGCTTAGATCTCATGTCATGTCACCTGTTATCCATGATTCCCTCCCCACCTCAGGTTTATTATGATAAAAATCATTTTCTCTTTTCATCATGGGTCCATTGTCCTACTTTTATCCTTGGAACTGTTATACCTCTAGTGGGTGATAATGTACCAAAAATTATTGGAGACTACAGGATAAATGTCTTCCTGAATCACTGAGGATTTTGGAGGGAGCTTTAATTTTCTATTAAAACATATAGATGGAAAGCAAAATTCAGATGCGTGTTTTTGATATGAAAGAAACATTTGAAGTGTTTATCATTATGGAGTTAAAGTACATGAGGCTATTCTTCAGATCACACAGGGTAATGAGTTCACACTTCTCTGCCTCTTCTTTTCTTAGGGATACTAGATGGAAACTTAAGTTGTGCTTATTGGTAAGAGCTGAGGGATTCCTGACTACAGAGTGAATAAAACTCATGGCCTACCAGCTAGAAAGGTAAGAAATCTTAATTAAGCTTTTATTGCAAAAGCATTCTTTTTATTTTTGACTGTCTCCAAATATTATTGAATTTAACTGATGTTTCTGTACAGTATTACTTAGAATGCTACCATATTGATAATGTTTAGTTTAAAAAAAAAGATTCTGAGTGTCAGCCAAGTTGGAAATGTCCTTTTGGAGATAGAACATGTATCAGCATATTAAAGTGCATCTAAGACTGATTTTAAAGTGTTAGATTTTGTTTAATTCAGAGGCTCCTAAATTTATTTGACTGGAGACAAGTAGACCCAACATAAACATCCCAATTCTCCTAGGATTTTATGACTAGTAACAGTAGTAAATCTATGAAGTACTTTCTATGTTTCAGAAATATTTGTGGCCAAAAGTTTACATACTCTATATACAAGCAAATTAAACATTAGATTTATTTGCTTTTGTATTGATTTGTTTCAGCCAAGTAAATCACCATTATTATTTCATACTGATCAGAAATATTAATTTGACATTATAAGGTCCTTGAATTATACCATTTTTGAGCATCTATGTGCTAGCCATATGGTATTGATATTAGAGATATGAGATACAGTGGGTTTTGATCTCAAGCCATTTATAGTTTCTAAATATAGCTTTTTTAAATGGAAAGCAATCCCAACAACTCAACTCTGGAGGCCAGGATAGAAGGTTTACAAGTTCAAGGCCAGACTCATCAACTTAGGGAGACCCTATCTCAAATTTAAAAAATAAATAAATAAAAAGGGCTGGGGATGTAGCTAAGGGGTAAAGTGCCCCTGAGTATAATCCCTAGTACTCCCCCTCCTCATTAAAATTAAAATAAAATGGAAGGAAAAATATCAGTTTAATAAAGTGATCTGGCATGCAGAATCTTTCAAAACATGGCAGTCTAATGGTAGACTTTGCAAATATATCAAGATGTATGAGCAAATTGGCCTGTGCTTTTGTACCTAAACCCAGAGGTCCAAATCAAAAGAAAAAAAAATGCATAAATGGAGTTACTCTAATTTTGTCAAAAATATGGAAAATAATTGAAATGTGGGGCTGAGGCTGTAGCTCAGTGGTTAAGTGCTTGCCTCGCATGTGTGAGGCACTGGGTTCAATCCTTAGCACCACATAAAAATAAATAAAGATACTGTGTGTTCATTTACACTAAATAAATATTTAAAAAATAATTGAAATGTATATGTATTTAAAAGGTGAAAAAAATTTAAAGCAAATACAAGGAAGAAAGGGTGGTAACACTTGATAATTTTTTCTTATATACTAATCCTTAAATAGTAAAAGGATTAAATAGTTTTAAGCTACTTAACTAACTTGAATGTTTAAGTTGATGATCAGGTTAGAAGTATTCTTCATAACCTGTAAGTTCCATGAAGGCAAGGGACCGTGTCTGAATCATCGTACCCTGGAGTACGATGGGCTGAAAGGCTGCCATCAGTTCATGAGGCTTTGTCCTAAGAGCATTTTTCTTCATAACTGGTCTTTCCTTTCCTCTCATTTTGACTAGCACTACTTGAGTTAATACCATCATTCCCTCTTCAATCTCACAGTATCTTCTAGTTTTCTTAGGTAGTGTAGCTCTCTCTTATCCATCCTCCACATTTCTATTAGTGATCTTACCAAATTAAAATTTTTCAATTTCTTAACAACATGGCTAGGGAAACTTTTCTTAATTTGAAGAGGACCAAAAGAAAATATTTTAGGCTTTGTAGGAACCACATGTGATCTCTGTTGCATGTTCTTCTTTGCCTACTCTCTATACCATTGTTTAAAAATGTGAGAAACTTTTTTATTTCAAGAGTTTGGCCTAGCCGGGCGTAGTGGTGCATGCCTGTAATCCTAGCAGCTTGGGAGGCCAAGGCAAGAGGATTGCAAATTCAAAGCCAGCCTCAGCAATGATGAGGCACTAAGCAACTCAGTGAGACCCTGTCTCTAAATAAAATACAAAAAAGGGCTGGGGATGTGGCTTGGTGGTTGAGTGCCTCTGAGTTCAATCCCCAGTACCCTGGCAAAAAAAAGCCAAAAAAAAAAAATCCTCATTCTAAGAGTCCTAGAAACTTCCAGGAAATCCACAAATCCAATCGTAGAAATTACTTTCCTTTCTCTTGACTTTATTCTTTTGTATCTTCTCCATTCTTTTTATTAAATGTGTCACTGTAAATATGACCAAAAATGTCCACTAGTCTCAAGTATGATTCTGAATGTCTTGTGCCCACTTCTGTTTGACTATTCCTTTTTACCAATTTCCTAAAGAAGTAGTCTGATTGACTTAACTTGGTCAGGTGTCTCTCCTGATTTATCTGAGACAGCTATGTCAGGATCATGGATATTAGGATTGCCTTTTATTGCACTGTTGGCAGATCAGGCACTCTAGTGGGATCATGCAGGTGTTTAGGAGAGATGACCAAGTCCAGCATACTCATGTTCCCATAGCATCTGTGTTTATATAAAAGAAAGATTATACATGTACATAAATAAATTATTATTTTCACTTGTTAATCCTCCTTTTTAATCTAATTTTAAGTGCAGAATCCATACCTCTTGTATTTAACATGGTTGCAAAATAGGCAGTCAAATGTTTTCCAAATAAATTTCATAAAAGTTAATGATTTTTATTAGAAATGTTTGAGAATGCTATATATTATATGTAACACTATTATCCATATTTTAGAAATTTGCCTTTAAATTTGAGTGCATTCTAAGAGTTTACAAAATTTTATAGTTCTGTAACCAACTAAGTAGATTGTCAGTTAAATTCACATTTTAAAGTATAGAAATTTCTAGAGTCACCAGAAATTGATCCCCCACTTCTGTTTTTAGAAATTCATTCACAAGCACTATTTTTTTATGAAATGAATTATTTTCCTTCTTAATCTGTTTTTGATCAAGATGTAGGAAAATAAATATTTTCATTGCTAATCATCTGAATGGTAGACTTTAAAATGGCATAGGAATATTGATACTACAGCCTGAAGGATTTTTTTATTTGTGCAATAGATTTGGCCCTCATTTCATATTTCTAAAAAGGAAACTAATAAGATAAATAATTATCTAGTATCCTCTATAAGTTCATTCAGATTGGTAAATTCTTTTACTATAGTATAATTTCATTTTCTATTTAACCTTGCAATATAGAATATGCTTTTCAATTCCTTGATGTATTTTATAACTTGAAATTATAAGCCAGAAAGGAGAGAATTGTTAGAGAATCAGTACAATTTATTATTATTATTTATTAGTATTTTTAGTATTATTATTATTAGTATTTTTCTCATGACTACTGCTAAAACGTTAGTTATATAATAATGCTTATGTAGTGAATTATTTTAGCACATATTATAAATGTATTACTTAAGCTTATCTTGTTAGTTTTTTTTCTATTTTTAAAAAATGTTTGTTTATTTTTTGTTGTAGTTTCATATAATAACTTTATTTATATGTGGTGCTGAGGATCGAACCCAGGACCTCACACGTGCTAGGCAAGTGCTCTACCACTCAGCCCCAGCCCCTTCCTTATTTTTTTTTAATTCAAGACTAAATTGCCAGTGTGATGCCTTATTATTACCTATTATTAACAAATTTTATATTTCTCTACAAGACATTCTCCTGCAAAACCACAGTATAACTATGAGAATCAGGAAATCAACACAGGTCTATTTCTACCCTCTGTATTAGACCTGAATATTGCAGATCACATTGAAATTTTTGCAAGTCTTCCCAGTAATCTTTTATAGCAAAAAGATTCCATCTAATATCTCATGTTGCAGTTATTTGTTGTATCTTATTGAAATTTTTGATCACAAACAGTTCCTCAGTCTTCCCTTGACATCAATAACTTGAACATTTTCAAAGATTATTTTACAGAATTTACCTCAGTTTGGGGTGCTCATGATTTGATCCTCAGAATTATTGTAGTAGAAGTGATGACATGTCTTTCTCATTGCATTCCAAAAAGGGCACACAACTTTGCTTTTTATTTCTAACATTGTTAACTTGGATCACTTGATTAAGGTGATGTTTACTAGATTTTTGTACTGTAAATTACTCTTTGTCCTTAGTTATTACATTTTATTTTATAGAAAGATACTTTGAGATGAAATAAATATTTTATTCCTATTCAAACTTTTAATTTATTCTTGTATATCAGTATGGATTTGTGAACTCTATTTATTTAGGGTTTACTTTACTATCATTATTTGTTTTGATCCTTCACTGTCATTATTTGCTTTGATTCTCAAATTGTCCCACGTTTGGTCACTTTCAGGGCTAAATCTGCAAGATTTTTGTTTCGTTTTTATTTTCTACCTAAGATATTTAAGGTCTGCCCTGTACTTTTCCCTGCCCATCCCTGAAATCAACCAGTATTTCAAGGAGCCAAGGTCCCATTTGGTGGAAAATGGTATTTACACAATAAAATATGGAATGCTATATGTGCTTTTTTTTTCCTTTTAAATATATATATTTTTTTTAGTTGCAGATGGACACAGTACTTTTATTTTTAATGTGATGCCAGGGATCAAACCCAGCGCCTCATGCATGCTAGGCAAGCATTCTACTACTGAGCTACAGTCCTGGCCCCAATATATGTGCTTTTTATCCGTGTTCCTGGCCCTCTGAGTGGACATAACTAGATAAATTTTATGAACATATATGCATACATGTATAGACATTAACATCTTTATTTCTGTATCTTTATATTTATTTTGAAAGTCATGAGTTCATGTCATTATCTTCAGAACCCATTTAATACAAAGGTTCACCTCGTATTTATAGTTCATTTGATCTATAGTCACCTATAATGTGAATTTACTTTCACTTATCATATCCTTGATGTATTTACTAAATTTGATCAATTCCTGGGTATGTATGTAATGAATTGCCTTTCACCACTAGACTTTTCCCCATCAAGCATATATTCTACTAGTTGGCCCTGACATCCTATACTAGAATAGTGCCATCCTTGTCTCTTATCTCATGTGGAT